ACGGTGTATTTGCTCGTGCGAAATGTTTATATAGGTGTGAATGTGCGTGTTTGCAAGAATAAATATATGGTGCAGTGCAGTACTCTGTTGCTACGATGTAAATTTGAATTTGAGATCTCCGCTTTCTTCCCTCCTGATTCCCTTTCTTTATTTTCTTTGTCTCTTTTTTTTCCAGTTCATATAACCTGTCTGGATGCTCAAAAGATTAAAGAGTCTCTAACAGGCAGCAGTTTTTCTTTTATTACATTTATCTCAGTTTTGGCTGAACTTATTTTCTTTTAGTTTGTGTCCATAACGCATATTTCTTTTTTTTTCTGGACTTCATTTTGTGTGCTTTTTCATGGATTGTCAGAATAGTAAATGTATATACAAATAAAAACAATTAAAAAAATAAAATAAAAAATATATATATATTTGAAATTGGACTCATTCATATGAAGTGCTTGAAGTACCCCATATGTAATTGATTTATTTTGAGGTATGTTATGTATTTTCACCCAGGCAATTTTTATAACCTCTGACATGTAATTAATACAGCCAGTTTCATGTCTTTAGGCTGTGATATGTTAAGTTCTGTATCTTGAAATAGGCTCATTGTGTTCTTTTGGAGCAACATACTTTAATAAATTTTAAAGATTCAAATGAGTACTATTCTATCCAATATATATAAACAGATATAAGTAAATAAATATATATATATATATATATATATATATAGTATATATAGTATATATATATATATATATATATATATATATATATATATATTACATATATATATATATATTACATATATATATATATTACATATATATATATATTACATATATATATACACATTATATATATATATATATATATATATATATATATATATATATATATATATATATATATATATATATATATATATATAGTATATATAGTATATATATTATATATAAATATACTTATATATATATATGGACACACATGTACATACACACGCACATACTCACTCACTCACTCACTCACTCACTCATTCACTCATTACTCACTTACATACACTTGCACTCATCATAAACATACAAAGGTACTTAAAAAGATGGGTATACCATTTAATCTGTTAAACAAAAAAATGTAATTGACTTTTCTTCATACATTCTGATGGTTGTATAAGGTTATCATGAATAAAAGAATAGAATTTTTGTTTAACTTGCAGTACTTATAACAACTTCAAGTAAATTATACTATATACACAATTATTTATGGAGCCGTTTCTTGCATCTCACAAAGCATCTTTGTTGACTAAACATGCTGACTGCATTTAGCTCCATCCCCTTTCATCAGACATCTCTATCTGTGCAATGTATTGTGACAAGTTTTTCAAAGTGTTTTATTTTACAACTGGCTAAAAAGATGACGGAGATAAAAAAAAAGTAATGGAAAGAAGGCAGGAAACGAAAGAAAATCTTTTAATATTTACTATAAATGTTGCAAAGACTGTGGTGCTTCCCTGGGTAATTTTAACAAGGATTTTCATTGAGACAGATTGGTGCTACCTGTCTTATAAGTACCTTGATGTACACAGACACACACACACACACGCACACACCTACACGCACACACATATATACACACATACACGCACACACGCATATACACACTTGCACACATATACACATGAACATTCTTACATTCATACAGATATATATTAAGGCCTTCCTATAGTATATTGGATAAACGTTGAGTGAAGTCTGTATATCTGTAATAGTTATATGATGTGTATGTACTGTATGTTAAGTGTAAATATTATATTGGTATAATAAAGAAGGTATGTACTTTTCAGATGTGTTTTTATACCTTATTCTGTGTCCTCAAGTGATTGATTTGTAGTTTTGACAAATAAGTGTATTTGTTATCGATGATATGTTTTAATGATGGCCCATTTCCAAAATGTTAATGAAAGTTTAAATTCATAGATTTATTTATTTACATAAGAGATTTTCTCTACTCGTTCCTTTATAACAAAGAATAATCTCAAACAGCACAGTTATTTTTGCAATGAACAATAATTGCAAAATCTATTGCAAAGAAATTACATTGTATTAGACTATAGTTTCACCCAGCCTAATTACAAAGTGGAAAGAGGCCGTATATTATCTTAAAGAGAACAGAGTAAACATAACATGAAATCTGTGAATTACAAAGGAGTTTTTGGCAGCATGAAAAGGTCAGATATAGTTTAATAACTGAACAGAAAAAAAACATTGGATTTTATCATCTTTGTATAGGAATCATTTTGACAAGTACATTTTGTTAGTTTTGATTTTGTTTATTTTCTCTTCTTTGTTTATATTTGTTTGTGTTTAGTTGGCCTAGACTAAGAAAGTTCCGCCCCAAGACTACAAAATTACATCTAATTATAGAAAATGAGGGGACACCTAAAGTCTCAACTTTAACATATATTCATGAGACAGTTTAAAGGTTGCCATTTATGTGCAGAAATTATCATTACATATATATAACTCAAATGAAATTATAAAGTGAATGTAATAATACTGGAAATAATTATTAGAAATTAAAGTTTCATCCCATATATAATTGATAGATAGAAATGGATCAACTGATTCAAGGAAAGAGCAACATTATAATAAAGAAAATAAGTGTGACAGTGAATCAGTTCCCTGCTAGCAAAGATATTCAAAGTATGACTGGTTTACAAAAATCAGTAAATCCAAAGGTATGAAGCTGTGTTTTTATCTTCATTTC